AGTCTCATCTGTCTGTCTGTCTGTCTGACTCCTGTGCACTCACACCCTACAGCAAGGGCAGCTGAACATGAAAGCCTCAAGTTGTGCCCTCTTCAGAGCTGAATGTGAGCTGAGGACTTCCTTCACCAGCCGTTTACTCAAACAGAGTTCCGGAGTGCCTTTCCATGGAGCAGAAAGCGGTCACCCAGGGCGGCACCTCCACCCAGGCCTGCCCAAGACTCAGCCCCCGAGTCTCCAGTCTGTTGCTGCCTACTCAGCTTCTCCCCGGGGATGGCCCTGGTCAGGGTGCGGCAGGCCCCTAGGAGCCCCAAGGGTCCTGTGCAGAGCATCGTCAGATCTGAGGACCCCCAGAAGGAAGGCCCTCGTCCACGAGAGTGTGGCCTCCCTGGCCCCCCCACCCCGCCCACTGGCCACCTAGCTGCAGCTAACCGGTGCCTGGTTCGGGGTTTGTCTCCAACTCTGACGGTTTTTGCTCTCAGATGCTCATCTCCCAGGGTCACCTGGAGAGCTGCAAACCCAGGGTGCCACAGAGGTGGAACTCGGCCCTCTGAGTCCCACTCCTGTGCCTGGCCCCGGTAGGATCCAGACCCTGAGTGAGCCTCTGATGGCTGCGATGGTCCTCCTCCCCACTCCCTGGGGCCGGAAGCCCTGCTGAACTTGAGCTCTGAGCTTGGACAGATCTGAGGCCAAGTTAGTTCTCCTAACTGCAAAACCCCCCTTGGAAATGGCAGGCCTAGCTGCGAAGTGACCACGTCCCCCGATGGCCCTGCTGTGCAGGAACAGGGTCGGGAGGTCTCGGTGCCCAGTGAATAGGGCAGGTGGATTTGTGGATTCATGGGGGAGGAGAGAAGAGGGAGGAATTCGCCGCTCCTCCTGGCCAGGCCATTTCACCCCTTCTTTAGCGTGGAGCTTAGGCTAAAGGGGCATTTCACGGGGATTCGCCGTCCCAGGCGTGGCTCCCCGCGCCCCGTCCTGACCCACCCCCCAGGCAGGAGTGTCAGAGCGAAGCCTCACCGTCACCACCCAAAACGCACGTGTGCAAGATGTGATCGTCTGTCACCGAGATGGAGTATATGATATGAACCATGGCAAACACCGTAATGACTAATTTCAAACATTTATTACAATTCTTGAGAGACTTGAAAGCTGTCCCCGCTCTTGATTTTAATAAATGCAGTCTTGAAGCAGCCGCTTATCAAAGTGACACAAATTGTGTGGTAAATAGATTATGGCACAGCTGAAATACTGGAAAATGAGATCAGAAATGCTCCTTCTCTCCCATTTAAAACTCCGGGCCATCCTTCAGCCCCCGCCCCAGCACCGGGCAGCCTTGGGAAGTGCGACAATTGGCTTTTCATCAGCTTCTCACAGAGCCTCCCTGCAGGGGAGCCGGCAGCTGGGGGCCCTGGCCCGGCAGGCTGGGGGTGTCCGGGAGGCGGGGAGGCTGGTCTAGGGAAGCTGTGGTAAAGAACGATGTGTCCCCAACCTCACGTCCCCAACCTCGCGTCTGACTAGATCAGGTTCGAAGGTGCCCGCGTTCTTACTGGTTCGGTTTGGGTGCTCCTGGCTGAGCCCCTGTTCCCTACCCTCTGCCGGCTTCCTCCCACAGACCCAGCTCCTGTCCTGCACTCTGCAGTGCACCTGGGGTGGGACACTCAGGGGGAGCCCCCGCAGGCGCCCTCCAAAGGCTCCAGGTCCCATGGCGGAGGCCAAGGTGCACACAGCAACGGAGTCCACAGATGGCACACACCAGGCTGGGCCTGCCCGGACGCCTTGGTTGCAGGGGACCAGAGACCCTGGGGCAGCTGTGCTGCTCAGCGGTGGCTGGCCGGCAGTGTGGCACTTCTCCCTGGTCAGATGGCCTGTGTAAACACCAGGACCCTGCCCTGCCCACATCTCTGTCTTGTTCTTCCCCCAAAGACGGAATGACCAGGGGAAGGCGTGTGCATCCAGTGGGGACAGGAAGTGGAGGGCACTTCCCTGTTTGCTGAGAACACCCGGGACTCGCCCACCCCACGCCCACCCCACCTACTCACCCTCAGGTTCTTGCTCGCATTACCCTCGGAAATGGGGCAGGGGGCCGCAGAGGGCCACCCTCTGCCACCAGGATGTGTCCCCCAGCTGCCTCGGGAAAGCCAGGGTGCTTCTCCGCCTCGGAATAAACAGAAGCAGCCTGGCACTCCAGATCCTCGTTGGCAACTAATTGCTGGTGTAACGCGTCACATGCCATCTATCAATGCCAATTAATATTCAAATAAAAGCACAGTGTGTCTACTCATGTGCAGCTCCCAAGCCCCGCCCTCCCCTCTGGGGGGCCGCCCTGGGGAGTTTGGTGGTGGGGATACTGTGCAGCTGAGAGGTGACTCCCCAGGTATGGGGAAGGGGAGTGATGGCCCACACCCCTCTAGACCCATTCCCCTGTCCGCGTGGCAGGGGCACCACTGGGCTCCTCGCTGGTAGAGAACAGGGGCTGTGGCTTGCCGAGAATCTGCCCCGGGCAGGAGGGCTCTGAGGAGCAATTCCTGTTTTATTTTTAAAAAATAGACATTGATTAAGTAATTAAATCGTTTATTACTAAACCCAAGTTAATAGATATTAAACTTTATTATTTATTAAGTGTTAATCATTCATTAGGTTTTTCAAATTAAACATCAAACCTCTAACAAATTAAATTTAAATAATTAAGTCTGTTATGAGGAGAGGGAGATTGAGGTTGGGAGCAAATGTGTTCCACAAATGTTTTTTTTTTTCACAAGAGCTCCAGGCCGGATTACCCCCATTACAGGTGGGGAAAGGAGAGCTGGGGGGCAGAGGCTGTGACGGTGCACGCTGGGACCTCGGCCCCATCTGTGGGTTTCTAAGGACTGACGCTCTGTTTGGAGTCCGCGGGACGAGTTCAGGTGATCCTGGGAGGACGGAGGACTTGTCAGGACGGGGGTGGGGGGGCTAGAGCAAGATGCAAAATATGTCGGGGTTATCGGAGGAAGTGGGGTGCTGCCTTGAGGGCAGACACAGGCCAGGCCTGGAGAGGGCACCCAGCCAAGAGCAGAGGAGCTGGGCACCCGGGAGGTGTGAAAGCCAGAGGACAGGTGAAGGAGGGGACAGAGCGCAGGCCTGCCACACCTGCCAGGAGGGGGACACCCTGCCCCTCCCATGGAGCCCGCTGCTCTCCCTGCCTGGGCCTCCATAAAGACATGCCCAGATCCTACTCCAGAGCCTGCGACTGGCACCTAATGGGAAAAGGGTGTCTGCCAACGTGGTGAGCCGAGGACCCCGGGAGACTGACCAGAGTGCCCGAGGGCCCTCACTCCAGCGACGAGTACCCTGGCCAGAAATGGAGGAGAAGGGGGCCAGGTGAGGATGGCTCGAGGTTGGAGCGCTGGCCTGAGCCCAGGAAGGTCCCCAGACACCAGCAGTCGAAAGACAGGGTCACCCCAGAGCCTCAGGGGGAGCCACGTGCAAAACCAGGCCTTCAGGAGGGGCTGTGAGGTTTGGGCTGTGGTTTGAGCCCCGGGTCTGTGCAGCCCGAGGACATAACACCACGTCAGAGAAACTCACCTGGAAAGGGAGCCTTGTCCCGGCCGTCTGCTGGGCTCTGCCTGTCACCCTCCTGTGCGTCAGACGTCAGCCCTTGCCCGGGGTGCGGGCAGGGAGCGGGGATACCCAACCCAGGGGTTCAGCAGAGGGAGACTCTCTCCGTGGCTTGAGCTCAGGCCTGTGGGGACAGGACCGCCCAGTGACACACGGATAAGGGCCATGGGCCCTAAGTTCTGAAACTCCACATGGGGAAATCCAAACCCAGAAGACAGGGGCTGCCCGCCGTTAGTCTGCTTAAGATGAGTCTTCCCTTTACCGCAGAAAACCAGGGCCTTGGCACGATGCTTGCCTCCCTGTGCGAGGGCCCAGGCTTGGTTCCCTGCACCTCAAAATCAGGGAAGAAAGATCCTTGATCCATCCTGTACCCATGTTGGGTTTTGCTCCTCAGGGTCAGCTTCCATCCAGGTCCATCTCCAGCGTGACCGCCTCTGTAAGGCCCCTTGGTCTCCCCCAGAGCATGTGACCCCACTCCTCAGACCACACACACACACACACACACACACACACACACACACACACACGGGCTTCACCGTTATCCCCCTCGTTCTGCTGAGTACCTGTGGCCTGCACCACGCTCACTTGCAGCAGAGGAGACCCCCGTCATCTCGGGGGAACATGGACTTCAGAGTCAGAAGACCAAGGGCTGCCCCTCCCCGCAGGAGCCAGCTGCTGGGGCTCTCCTGAGCTGCTTTGACCCCTCAGCTCCAGTGGCCAGCTGACAGGGCTGGCCAGATGGTGACTTTCAACTCCTCTTTGCACAAGCAACTCTTCAAATAAAGATCTTAGGTGGAGGGAAGATTTGTACCCCTGCAGGCTCAGCCTTCGTCCTCCCCACCAGCTCCACCTGGGCCTCTGCAGAACCTTGGCTCCTCCCCACCTCCCAGGGAGCTGATGGGCAGGAGGAGACAGTCGGGTCCACAGGGGCAGGAGGAAAGGACCGGGACTCTGACTTGGGGACTCCATTACGGCTTTTGTGTGTTGTGGAAAATCCATGTCGTTGGTGAGGTAAAAAGGAGAGAAGAAGCTGCGCTGGAGGAAAAGAAATGGACGGAGATTGGCGTCAGGGTTCTCCAGTTGTTGGGAGTTGTTGGGAGGGGGCTCACACCACGGGGGCCTGGCAAGTCTGTGACCTCAGGGCAGCCAGTTGTCGGGGACAGGTGAGGCGCTGCTGTCTGGAGGCAGAATGTCTTCTCAGGAAAACCTCCATTTGGGGTCTTAAAGTTTTCAACTGCTTGCATGAGGCCCGCCCACATTTCCAAGGGACATGTCTCCTATTTACAGATGGCTTGATGCAAGTGTCCACCACACCTACAAGACAGACGGTCACTGACTCACCAGGATTGACTGAGGACATGTTCCACTATGATGGGTTTATGGGGCACTAGTGGTTTCTGACTTCTGATGCTCATCGGGGTCAGAGGTCAGAGCATTGGCACCTTCAGGCCAGCTCCTGGCTTTGTGCTGACGGATGACGAGGGGCTGCAGTCTGGCCCCAGGACCACAAGACTGATGTGACAGTGAATTGGGAATGGTGGCATCTAAGAGAACAAGGACAAGAGGGGGCGTCCTGGACAGCATCCTGGGGGTTAGGACACGTGTCCCATTAGCCTCTTCCCAGTTGCTGCATCCAGCCTCTGCAGGTGTCTGCAGCCTGGGTCACCTGGGGATCTGGCCTAGCTTCAGGTCACACTGATGGGGCAGCTGATAAAGGAGGGGTCAGCCCCCCTCTGCCAGGGAGAGAGGGCTGGGTGGGACCTCCTGGCACCTCAGCCATCCAGGGCAGGCATGGTCTCCTGTGTGGACTGAGTTATGCCTGGAAAGAGCAGGGGAGCGGGAAGAGAGCCCTGATTGCCTGCTAGGCCCTCCATCACTTTACGAACCCCGGTTGGTAGAGCTACTCAGTTCCTCTCCAGTCCAAAGCCCGGGGTCACGCAGGCCACACCTCTCCACATGCAGACCAGGTTCCCACAGGAAAGACCCCCACAGTGCTTTTGCCCCTCCAGTTGGTACATCAATTGTGTGCAGAGGGGGACGCATCCCTGCCTGCCACCCAAGGACCCCCAGCTCATCCTGGGGAGCCCTGTGGGGTCATTCAGGCCTAAAGGAGCCCCCAGAGTCAGGCAGGGCCTTATCCCAGTTCTGCTGCCACCACAGACTGGCTACT